ACGGAAACAGAACTAATTTACTTGCCTCCCCAGGGAAATCCACTGAACAGATTAACATTTTCAAAATATAGTAAGGATATCATTTGAGCAATGGCGATGATGCCAATTTTTCGGAGCCTTTGAGAGAGTAATTTACATATTTTTACAGTCCACTATTTTCCCCCCTTAATCACTTTGAAACTGAAGGACACATTAATGTAGCACTTGCACATGGGAGTGTGCGCTCCTGTGCGTCTTTGTGCCCATGCGCTCGCGTTCGTACTAAAAGCATATTTATTCCATCCATCTCCATGAAAAGTTTGGAAAAAGACCTGTGACACGACTTCATTGATGATCAAGCACACAGGTATCACAGCTGTCAAAAACTTCAGCTGTCATGTGGAAAAAGAAACCATTCCTTTATCGCCACCTAGCGTCTTGTGATTTTATAAAGGCTAGCTTAATGTAGGCTACTGGAAAGTGTCAGGGTGTCAAAACGCAAGACTAGGATCAGTGACAAATAAGGATGTCCAAGACAACCAAAAAGACACACACACACACGCACGTTTGTTTCTGTGAATTGTGGGGACTTTCCATAGACATTTATTACTTTTATACTGACCAAACGATATTTTCTATCCCCTAACCCAACCCTAAACCTACCCCTTACAGAAAACCTGTTTGCATTGTTAGATAAACATCATTTACTATTTTTAATCATTTTTTCCCCACAAAAATTTCAAGTTTTACTATCCTTGTGGGGACATTTGGACCCCACAATGTAGCATAAACAAGTACACACACACACACACACACACATATATATATGAATAAACAACAGATTTTAAAACACGTGCAAGTTCATAGAACTGTATTTTGTGTCCTCGTTGGTTTCATACATTTTTCAAAAACGTTTACAGCATTTATTACAAAGAATCAAGGAATGTAAAATGATTTAATATCCTAATAATTTTCAAAAAGTTTCAAAAAAATGTTTTTATATAAACTACTTTTTAAACAAATACCATGCATTTTTTTGTTTTCTTTAAATTTCTTTCTTGACCTGAACATTAAAAAAGGAAGAAAGAAAAGGAAGTCACCGTCATGGGGTTTTAAAGGAGTGCTCTCTTACATGACAACATAATGTCTTTTTTGTAAGTTGGTTACAAAAACTCATTTTTAAAGAATTAATAGCCTAAAAAAATGTTATAAAGGGTTAAATGATAAACTTCCCTCTTAAAATGTTTTAATGTGTCAGTAAGGCTTATTGATGGTGACAAGAATTGCTGGGAGACATAACGATGTAGACTATTCCAAACAGATCTTAGACAACTCGGGATCACCCATCTCTCGCGCTCTCTACATAAACAAATCTCCTACATGTCACGTGACTCGTGCCATAGCCTGGATATCAATCAGGGTCTTGATGTGCACTAACCGCGGTCTTTCGTGAGGGCCCTGAATAGTTAATATCTCTTTGTTATCCACGTTGCTCTAATCCCCCGGTGGCTCGCGGGCTCACGGTTGCATGGGAGGAGGAGCGTCAGCTATTATTTTCGGCCGGCGCGACCATCTGCTGCGCGCAGGAAACCCAAAACCCCAGAGACGCCCCAGTATCCACACTGTAAACTAGCGAAGATGTTTTAATTAAGGCGAGGCAGGTTAACTCTGCTGCTTAATGAATTGACTTCGTTGGCCTCCCCTTGTCGTCCAGAAGTGCTTGTTGTCTTGGCCTCCTCCAAAAACACTGTAGAACAAAACAGTCTTCTAATCCATGAGTAGCCTACCCCAGAACTGAACATTTGAGGTTCTTCTTTATTTAAGACACCTTATTTATATCATAGCATCAGCTCATTACTAGAGGTTCTCAGACCTAAACTTTTTACAGATTTATTATGTCCAAACTTTATAATAGGCTACAGTGGGAAAAGTTGCCAGTAAATTTCACAAAGAATCACAAAGAAACGGCAGGTAACATTTAATTAAACGTGAAATGTTGAAGAAGAAAGACTGATTTTTTTTTCTCTAATAATCTTTCTTTTATTTAACTTTGAAAAATCTTTTTTTAGTGAACCAAATCTCGCTCAGCCTCGCTGGGTTAAATGAAGGATATACAAAAGCATATCTTCAGTCAACTTTATATACATATTGTACAAAAAACTTTATTTTTCAATCATTTGTTCTCCAACAAAATTTGCTCAGTACAAAAAGATGTTTCTCAGTGACGTTGTACGCAGTTAAGCAAATTAAAGGAGGCGTAAATTGTGCGACAGAATAATTAGATGAGCCTATCAATTAAATACATAGGGCCTACATACATTTTTGCTTAATTAGGCTATACTTGCGGAGGACTCTCGTGGTAGTCACAGCGCTTCCTAGAGGTGATCCGAGTCATCCACCCTAAACGTTAGATCGGCCTATACAGTAAATTATGATGATATCGTTGATAGACTTTATAGCAATGATACCATATGATAATACGGCACACATTTATCATGCTAAAACGTGGCATAAGAATAAGTATCTTGCCCAAAACTTGTTGAAGCAAATTCTTTTCCGAAAAGTCAAACTTGTTTTACATTAAGCTTTTTCTTGAACCACCCACTGGTGGATGCATTTGGCCGTCGTGCTCCGATCTAACTGGTTAATTAAAAACAGCTCATGTTTGCTCAAGTTAATAAAAGGACTAAATTATTCACTTTGGGGACCTGAGTCCCAGAGCGCCTTCAAATCATCCCGGGACAATATTGTAACTCTCTCTGCGCTCTGATGAAACACTGAGGGGTCCTGTCACTGGTCGGAACCCCCTCCTCACTTTCCATCTGTCCCTCTTTGTCCTCCCTATAAAGCGTGTGTATTTTAGCTCATTGTCTTTCACACATTTATTGACACCTTTTTTAATTCGGCGCTTCTGTCGGCCTTCTCAAGCCGTGGGGCGCCAATCTCTTCCGCTCCATTAGCTCATTGAAACAGGAGTCTGGTTAAACAAAAGAGATGCAATCTGATCCTGTGTCCTCTCTGTCTCTCTCTGAGGCCATTCATGTCTCTCTCGCACACCACGGGTTTTCGCGCCCTGTTTGTCAGAGAGACTGCCTGTTCGTTCGCAAGCCAGCGGGGAGGGGGATCTTATTAGCATTAAAAGCCTACACCGTGAAATTCATTTATAATTGCTAGAGAGAGAGAGAGAGAGCGCGAAAGCATATGCGTCCCGAATTACGTTTGAATAAGTTTTGTGATATGTTAACATGGAATGGAATGAGACAAGACTGCAATTATGACGCCTTTGTGACTGTCAAATTCGATTCATAAGAGGCTCGTTCCACGGTGAGCGCCCGTAGAGAAGAAGGTGAGGTGAATCTTAATGTAGCTAAAGAGAAGGCTTAGAAATCTCCACTGGAGGAAACGAAAAGCAGACCGAACAACAATGTTATAAAGTCGATAAAATGGCCTGCCTTTATTGCCAGTGTTTCCTGATGCATGTTCAATCTGCGTGAAAAGACTTGACGCTTTAAACCGATCTTGTCTATCATTCATATCATAGTATATTAGAGAGACAGACACTGGTTGGTGGTGATGATGAATCAGGTGTGCAACCACAACAAAAGTTTCTCCCCTCAACAAAAAGGGTTTGAGAAGTGCAAAATATGCAGTCCTGGACCAGAATTGAGAACTATTGCACTATATTAAGCAAAACACTTCCACAGAAATCCTTATTAAGATGCAGAAAGTGTCTCCACACATTTCTGTCATTGGCTGTTGCAAAGCATGACCTCAGGTTCAGATGATCTTTATTATTTGGAATTCAGAACCTGTCAATATGTCAGTTTCTCTTTAAAAGTCACTGTTTTTGAATTATCCTAAAAAAAAAAACAATTACAACCATTTAAAAGTACTCAATTTTATCTGGTAATGATCAAGTAATTTTCACAGACTTTATCTGTATGTATTCTGACACCCACAGCCCAAATTAGCAGTTGAACAACCAATTCCATTCGGCTTTAAGAAATCTGCTGCCATCTACTGGTCACCTTCACAACCAAACAGCAGAGGCTTGAAACTAAAAGCGTTTTCTTAATTAAAGGGTTAGTTCACCCAAAAATGAAAATTCTGTCATTAATTACTCACCCTCATTCCGTTTCAAACCCGTAAGACCTTCGTTCATCTTTCAGAACACAAATTAAGATATTTTTGATGGAATCTGAGAGCTGTCTGACCCTGCATAGACAGCAACGCAACTGAAATGTTCTCAAGTCCAGAAACGTGGCAAGGAGATCTGTAAAATAATCCATGTGACATCAGTGGTTCATCCGCAATTATACGACGCTACGAGAATACTTTTTGTGTGCAAAAGAAAAAAAAAAGATCGACTTTATTCAACAATTCGTTTTCATATTCTTCAAATCGTAAAATTAGAATATTTAAAGATAGAGAGACAGCTACTTCTCTTTGAGTGAAACAGCATCTTAGACCATAACCACTTCAAACACTACATATAAATACAGTTTATATTGCAGTGCATATCCTTATACTTGCAGTGCATGTATTTAGCAGTCTTATCTGGAAGTATTTAGTGGTGAATATCTTAACTTCAGTGGCCTACATAAACTGATAATATCCATTCAGTACCATGGCCAGCGCCACTGTGTTGCTTTTGCACGATAGCACTGCAGCCATTATATAAATAGGCTACAAGTAGCGTACAATTAGGCTTAAATGTTAGGTTAAGAGCATTACATGATGCCGTGTTGGTTACGAGATTTATAATGGAGATATGGCAATTGAGAAAAGGAGGATTTCATAAACTCAGCAGTAACAGTCTATTAGTATGCTATTGTTCTCCAACCTCACCTGTTAGTATACATCAGTTTAACAGTAAAAACGTGAGACAACATGATTAATGTAACAGTACAATAATGTTCCTCTCCTAATGAAAAATTCAGGCGCAGGATGATGATGACTAGACTGACTAGTCAGTGGTCCGTCCAATGAGAGCAGTGAACGGTGATTTTGGAAATAGTTGTGGGTGTCCATATCAGTGATTAAATTTCTCTAGTAAAAATGTATTATATTATAATATAATATAATTGATCGTCAATACTACATCGAACACAAAGGCTTGTGATCGCCAAGGTGAACCATCGACCAATCCATATTGGAGATACAAACCGACTGTCTCCTATTTGCGCTTTGCATTCTGAAAACGACAATTCTCCATTGCCATGATAACTCAAGCGAATGCTTTATGGAGAGTATTCGACTATCGTCGTGAGAACGGCTGCGCGATTCACCGAGGGCCGCGGAGATAGAATGAAACGAACGCGTTCGAAGAGACTGGATGTTGGAGAATTCATCAGAACATGCCATACAAGACAGCATATCAACGATTCACCATTACATGACATGGATAAACATCCGTGGTATGTTTTATTTCTAGCTTTTTCTACAGATGCGGTGTCTATCAGTAGTTTCCCAAACCGGTTCCAGAAGACATTTTGTAAAACACACAGATAGCTATAGCTACCCGCTAGCGCCCCAGCAAGCATAACTACGCTCTAAAATGTATTAAGTCGTAAATATTTTGTGCTAAGGGTTTTATCGTATATTTCCACTACGCCGCAGTTGCGTCATGGCGTCACGCGACGTTTTAAAAAAACCTCAACATCACATTTAATCTGGTATTATATAGTACGTCGTTATAAAATGTTTTGCCACAGGCCTACATCTTTCAAAGTAAAGAGTTTACCAAATAAACAGGGGGAGACGTATAGAACAATAGGTCACAAGTTAGAATAATAGGTCACAAGTTTTAAAGTTATATTATCAAAAAACATATTAGTAATACGTGCGCTTTTTTTTTTTAAGACTTCGTACCTGTATTGTGGGCTAACATCTAGCCTACTTTCATATGCGGTTTAATCTGTAGAAGTGGTTGATAGTTTCTCGTGAGGTCAAAACAAAACAAAACACAAAAGTGGCTTTCTTCAGTTTTAAATAATTTACGTATGTTACATTTTTGGTAGTTGGTACATTTTTGGTAGTTGATGTCGGCACATATTATCAAAAGTGTAAAAAAAAAAAAAAAACCCGACAAATGTAGTGTAAAGTGGTTGTTTATTTTTGTATTTTCACTATGTTTTTGAATCAGTACAAAAACCAAGGTGCGTTTGGTCAAGTTTCGTTTTCAAAACACGTTATTGATGTTTTGCGTCGCCTAAAAAAGAAAAATAGCCTATTCTACAAAACATAACGGCAACCAAAACGTTATTTACTTCCCTTCGTCGTTACTCCAGACCTGAAAAGGTTTTGTCAGTTGAAACGTGCGATTTGTCAAGTGCAGGCCTCCAGGAGCATGGGGTAAACGCTGCGTGCGCTCACGTCCCTTTTAAGGACGGAAAGTAACACTTACTTCAATTGGCTTCACAGGTTCATAATTAATCAACCAAACGCGCACCTGTTCGGGAAGAATCGTGTAGTATTGCTGTCGGTCTGAGCAATGGCTGCTCCAAGAAGAATTCAGTTCACCACACTCTCAAGCAATGCACGCTTTCCTCTTCCCACCGTCCCCAATGCCAGTGACCAGCCTGTCAAACAGGGTTTACCTGCACCGGCGCCAGCGGTTGGATCGCCACCACCTCCGCATCCTGCAACAAGAGTGGAATTAAATCTCTTCGAGTCGGATGAACAACGCTGCCCGGAGTTTAGCTACCCGGATTTGATCCGCGCAAAAGTAAACAAGCATTATTTGACACTGATGTATTTTCTGAATTTAATTTTTAGGCAATATAAGCAAAATTTCAAAACTGTTTGCGAATATGCAAGAACAGAAATACTGCAAAATATAAATGCTCTGAGTTTGTATTTAATAATTTTCAATCAAAACATTTCTGAATTTTGTGGGGAAATAGTCACAAGTTAAATACTTACTTAGAAAATTTCTTTTGATCCAGAAGTGTTAGCAGTGGTGTCAAAGTAAGCATCTACCTTGTTGTTTACATTTAGAATTAAATTACATTTTTAATATGTAGGCCTATATATAGTTATCTAACTGTGAATTCAGCAACTGATATGTGTATGTTACAGTATTCAGTTAAATTGGTTTTTAATAGCTTTTTCGAGTTTTTAGTCAATTTGCCTGACAAGTCCTTGAGGATTAAACCAGTTCTGGTGGATTTAGGAAAATCAGTCTCGTTTTCTCATTTTAAGGAAACCGCTGAGAAAAAGAAACCACAAACATTAGATGAAGCGGTGGAGGACAAGGAGAGAGATGAACTGGAGGCGCTTGCAAAAAAGTTTGACGCAAAATACGTGAGTATGAATTCTGCCAAGATTATATTTCTAGCTTCATCATGTTAGTGCTGTGGAGAGTGGAAACAAAGTACATTTCAAAGCTCACTGCACTTGTATATGCATATGGTGTGATTCAACAGGATTAAGCATATATGTCAAATTTAGTGATTTGTGTGTGCGTGTTTAAAGCTATACATTAATATCCACCATTTTCTTGTTTAGGGTGGAGCTGGCAAAAGAAAAAAAGACAGGTTACAGGATCTGGTGGATATGGGCTTTGGTTACGATGAATCTGATTCATTCATTGACAACTCTGAGGCTGTAAATTCAGGCCAGATGATAACACCACCTATATAAAATTATTCCATTTATAGAACACATGAATGTTTTACTCAAGTCTTCCTTATCTCTGCATGCCGCAGTATGATGAGCTTGTCCCAGCTTGTCTCACCACCAGATACGGAGGCTTCTACATCAACTCTGGAACTCTGCAGTTCCGGCCAGCCTTTGATGAAGGAGAGGAGAACGAGAATGATTGTGAGGACAGCGGTTTTAAATCGAAGGTGTGTCCTTTCTTGCAAAAATGGCAGTGCCAGTTTGTTGTGTACAGTTTTTATTTTTTTCAGCTGTATGCAAAAGATTGTTTAAGACATGAACGCGTTCATTTGTCACCATGCATTATTATATCTTATTTGGTCTGATTCCTTTCTCAGAAACGAAAGCTTAAGCAAGGAAAAGACAAGAAGATTGGGAAGAAAAAGAAAGAGGAAGACATGCTTACTAGGAAGGAAGAGGAGGAAGCCAGAAAAAGGTTTTTGCTGCTGGATAGATTACAATGTTTACTACTCTTAAGAATACTTACATTTTTCACAGCATCCTTTAGAAATAATCGTAGTTTTCATTGATTTTTTCTTAAATCAATCTTCTTTCATTGTTTGCTTTCTCCTTCTTCTCAGCACCCCGCCAGACAAATCATCTGCAAAGAAGAAGAAAAACAAGAAGCCGCTAAGTATCGATAAGATGCTGAAGAAGTTCCACAAGGAAAAGCTTCAGCAGCTGCAGATGTTCAACGCTAGAGAGAGAGATTGGCATGCTCTCAATGGCACCGTGCAAGCTGAGGTTCAAGAACCGCCCATATCAGCTGACCCTCTTCTCACACTCATTGGTTCTGCCAGTGCAGATGACCTCCTTCAGGCGGTCAAAGCAGCAGAGCAAGACTTTGACTTAGATAGACTCTTAGGGGAGCCGCAGAACATCTGTTCTCCGAGCCTAGAAGATAACGGAGAGGCTCTGGTAGTGTCCGTCACTGAGAAACCCACTTCATTACTTCCCGATGGTCTGCCACCTACATTAGAGCAACACATTAAGGAACTTTCCCAGGTATAATTTGCTCTTGCTACTTTAGAGTAGTTTGCAGGAATATGCAACTTATTCTCATGCATTACTTATTTTGTTCTTTAGGCTGTTAAGGAAATTGAAGGACAAAACCAGATGGAAATTTTTTCTTCAGAACTCAACAGTGTTCTACTAGAGTAGGTTACATTACATTTATTATATAACAGGTAACATTTTGCAAAGCATACTTTGTATTTTAAGCCAATGTACTATCTTGTATTGATTCTTTCTCTTTGTATGTTCAGTGTGGAGGTGAACTCTAACCAGCTTAGTGGGAAAGTGCGCTCCAGAATCTTCTCATACTTGGCATCACAGCTGTCCTGCAGCAAAGGCACTCTGGTTAAAAGAGCCAAAAAACTCCACAGTCTACAGCAGGTCTGTGAACGTACAAAACTGCATGACCCTTCAGCATAGTGACATGACTCTACTTACTTAATTCCTTTCTTGTTCCTGGTCTTATTTTACATGATCCATCAGTGCAGTTTAATCCAAAATCTTTAACTTTGATCATAATTAATCAAAATGAATTAAAATAGTTTTTTTAAATATTTTTAAATATTTTTTTTTTAGGTCAATAACTTTTTTTTAAAGAAATTAATACTTTTAGTTAGCAAGGATGCACTGAATTGAAAAGTGAGTCGTGACAGTACAAAAGTAAAAAAAAAAATACAAGAGATTTCTATTTCATATAAATGTTGTTCTCTTGAACTTTCTATTCATCAAAGAATCTTGAAAAAACTCACATTTCTACTAAAATATTAAGCTGTTTTCAACATCGATAATAATAAGAAATGTTTCTCAAGCAGCAAATCGGCTTATTAGAATTCTGAAGGATCATGTGACACTGAAAAAAAAAGTAATGATGCTGAAAAAAAGCTTTGCATGACAGGATTAATTAAAAATGTGTATATATATATATATACACACACACACACACACATATATGTGTGTGTATATATATATATATATATATATGTATAAATATGGATAAAAGCGTCTGCTAAATGACTAAATAAATAAATAAATTATATATATATATATTTCAAATATAAAAGTTATTTTAAATTGTAATGTTATTTCACTATAGTACTGTCTCTCTTTATTTTTGATTAAATAAATATAGCCTTGGTGAGCATAAGAGACTACTTTCAAAAAAAAAAATTTATTTACCAACCCTAAACATTTAAAGGGGTCGTATTATGCTTTTTCACTTTTTCAACTTTAGTTAGTCTGTAATGTTGCTCTTTGAGCATAAAAAAGATCTGCGAAGTTACAAAGCTCAAAGTCCAATTCAGGAGATGTTTTATTTAACAGAAATCACTTTTCAAAAAATACAACGAACGACTCGTTTGGACTACAACGCATATTATCCGGGATTTGTGATATCACAAATATCGACGAATGGGACGAGACCTGGTTGAGCTGCACTAGAGAAGGCAACGAGTGTTATCACTATGTCGGAGACACGCTAGCTTTCCCAAGGCAGACGAACTTAGAGTGGTTACAATCATCCGGGTTTAAATCGTGCTCAAATTGATTTGATTTTGACGCAATATTTACACTGAAGCTCGCAGGCGGCTATGGTAAGGGGCATGACATTTCCCGACCAGGCGCCCAGTGCTGCCAATCACAACACGCACTGGCCCAGATAACCAATCACAGCACATTTCGTATTGCAGAAGGTGGGCCTTCATTTGATACAGGAACTATTCGATCCGTTCATGCCAGACTGGGGAGAGAGGTGTTGTAATAATGTAAAATATGTGAAAAATAATGTGTTTTTCGAACAACCTAGTATGAGAGCCTGTTCTAGTACACCCCCAAAACAAAATAAAAGTAAAGAGCATAATAGGACCCCTTTAAATGGTTGTGTGTGTGTGTGTGTAACTGAAATCCAGTTTAATGTCTCTGTAAGCTTAATGTGTTGGTTATGTGTGTTATTAGGATGAACAGCTGCGGGAGCTGCTGAAGAAGCTAGAGAATGCGGTTGCCAGGTCCATGCCAGAACAGATCACCCGTTTCCAGAATCACTGCCAAGCTCACTCTGAAGCCAGAGCTGCCAAGTAATCAGCCATTCTTAATGCGTAAAACCTCGATCACTTTCACTGTATCACTGTATTTTTACTGACTTTTTAATTGGTTTGCAGTTTTCTATTAGAATGCAACTTCGGTTTGATTTGTATGTTCTTTTTGTGTTTTAAGACTCGAGGCTGAGAAAGAGAGGGGGATTGATGGCTCTGATGAAGAAGAAGAGGAGAGGAGTGGAAAACGAGTGTTTGGACCTCGCAAGAGGTTCAGATGGAATGAAGAGATCAGGTCGGGTCTCTTGTGTGCGTGCGCATGATTATTAAAGCTCTCTTGATTGCTACTAGTAAATGCTGTACATTCTCATTACATAATCTTTGAATTGAATGAATACCAGAACTTGTAATAAAATGAAGTATTATTCAATTATGTAAGCACTTATCTGTATAAACAAATATCACTGTATGGACTTTTACAGGGAGTTGCTCTTTGAGATTGTCAATTTGAAGATGATTATTTATGATTCGGAGTCGCCCACATGCTCTAGTTTGGAAGAGTATCTGAAAGCATTCCTAGAGGCTGATGTTAAACCACTTTGGCCTAAAGGATGGATGCAATCCAGGTATACAAAGCAAATTATTCATACTCTGAAATTTTGGACATAAGTGAAATCTCTAGGGCCAAGTTAAGTTGTTCATCATTTATATTTACAAGTGACAAGTAATTCACAATAAACATGTCTGTTGCTCTTAAACACTGAAAGCTTAGTTTTCAGCATCATTACTCCAGTCTTCAGTGTCACATGATCCTTCAGAAATCATTCTAATATGCTGATTTGCTGCTCAAGAATTCTTATTATTAATGTTAAAAACAGTTGTGCTGCCTAATATTTTTGTGGAAACCGTCATACATTTTTTCAGGATTCTGTGAATAGAAAGTTCAAATGAACAGCATTTGTATAATGTCTTTACTGTCACTTTTGATTAATTTAAAGCAGTAAAAACTGCATTAAAAATCAGATCTTTTGCTTATCAGATAAGCAAATAACTCAACCATCAGTGTTCAGACCTTAATAGGCATGAAACCTTGCTTGGGGTTAATCGTTATTAATAATTTTATAAGTTTCTGTCCTGTTCTTAATAGAATTCTGCTTATAGAAACCCGAAAAGCACATGGCCACATCACTGGTGTTGTGTAAGTATGATTCTACACTACTACACACTTCCTAGATACTGTATTTATCCAACCCTTCTGAGGAAAATTATTCATTATTTTTTCTGTTATCAGAAAGACAAATTAACATGTGGAACCTTGTTAGTCTAATACTTTAAACTTAACCAAAGTTCATGTTAATAAATTGCCCTTTTTCTTGATTTTACAGAGCAAGGAAGAAGCCAATAGGTACAACAAAACTAAAAAAGGTACATCAGAGAAAACTGCAAACCCCAGCCTTAGAGTACACTCTTGCATGTTGCATTCATTAGGAAAATATAGGTGGAAGTCTGATCCTAAACCTTGCTCTTTCAAATGTTGAATGCACAGGTCAGCGCCGCCCCTGAGGACAGTAAGAATAACCCAGAAATTCAGGGCTCACCAGCACTGAAACGCAAACGCCTGAGTGTACCTGTGAGCATGCAACCTGAAGCCACGCTGAGCACCACTGCCAAAACGCCATCAAACACACAAACATCTACCACCTTCTCCACCCATCCATCTAATCAGAACCACAAGGAAGGTAACAAGATTGAGAACCATCATACCAGCACTCAGAGAAGTCCAGTGACCGCAGAGGGAGCTGGGTCAGTCCAGATGATGTGGACCAGGTCTGTTATGGATTCAGATTCAAAGCGGCTCCAGACTGGAGAGAGGGCGACTCCAAAACTGACGCTGGTGGCGCCACCAGATGGTGCTGTGGGTGACTGTCCATCGGTGGTGCAGGGAGTGGCCAGGCTGCTCACTACAACCTCAGTGGGTGACACACCGGTTTCTATGGCAGCAGTAAGTCATTTAAAAGAAAAATGCAAAAAAAAGTCACACATTGGTTGCTTCCTAGATGTAGATCATATAATTTGTGGTATCATAAAAATCCTTCCTAAATATTTAATCTAAACATGTCCAATGTGGGATATTATCTTTTTTAGTTGTAATGCAACTTTGTAATTATAATTATATATATATTAGTGCTGTCAAATGATTAATCGCGATTAATCACATCCAAAAGAAAAGTTTTTGTTTAAATAATATATGTGTGTGTTCTTTGTATATTTATTATGTATATATAAATACACACACACGCATGTATATATTGAAGAAAAATGTTACGTTTATATATTAAATATATTTATATTTGATATAAATTATATGAATATAAATATATACATGTAAATATTTTCAAAATATATGCTGTATGTGTGTGTATTTATATATACAAAATAAATATACAGTACAAACACATATATTATGTAAACAAACTTATTTTGGATAAAATATATATATACAGTATATATATATATATATATATATATATTACAAAAAAAAAACTATTTTAATATATCTTGTGTATCTTAAAGTGCAATCTTCTACATCATTACTCCAGTCTTCGTTGACACAATTCTTCAGAAATCTAATATGCTGATTTGGTGCTCATGGAACATTACTTGTTATCAATGTTGAAAATAGTGCTGCTTAATATTTTTGTCTTTAATTTTTTAAAACATTCTTTTTAATGAATAGAAAGTTCAAAAGAACAAAATTTATTGAAAATCTTATGTAACAAATTTTAAATGTGTTTACTGTCAGTTTTGTTCAGTTTAATGCATATAGTATTATAAATAACAAAAAGTTTAGTCAATTACTTTGGAGCCTAAGAAGGAAAGGATTTGTTTTTAAAGCTTTTGTTTATAGCTGGACTGAATAATACTTTTCTTTGCTTGTGCTTCAGGCAGCTGGTGAGATCTCCTGTGGAAACCCAGCGCTTCCCACTCCTTCTCTATCGCTCCTTCCATCCTCCTACCCCACCACAGTACAGCTGGGTGTTTTACCCAGCTTTGCCCCCCTGCATGCTCTCCCGTTCCCTGGGCTCAGCCCTGGCACCAAACTCCCTGGACAGCCTCAGGCCTGCAATGGAGCTGTTTTTCCTGGCCCAGCAACTGGAACTTTCCAGCATGGTCTCGCACACGGTGAGCAGATATTGATCCTGAAAATAACCATGGATCTTGGTAAGCATCATCTCTGTTTGTTTAAAGGTAGAGTGTGTTATTTATGCTTCAATTACTGCACAAAACAATTGATTCCGGAACTATTCTAGCATTTCAAAATGACACACTTCACCTTTAACTACATACAGGGGCTTAATAAATTCATAATCTGTCTCATATACACCAAAGATTTTGTACTCTTGTCTTTGTGTGCAATGGATAGAATGGATGAGCTGAAGCACAACTCTTGTGTGATGTTTAAAGCACTTTGCTCCATCGCTGTAATGTTACATTTGTCATCCTGGTGTTTTCTTCTTCCTCCTATTCTCTTTCCTATTTCAGGTAACTCCATGCTGTGCTCTAGCACGCTTCATCTTCTGTCTGTCCCCGTTTCTTCTCCTGCTCCTCTTCATTCTTTAACACCATGGCTCTTTGGTTTAGGTAAATTTACACACCTTTGGGAAAGCCCATAGGGACAGTTGAAACACCCTCACATTGTTCGTGTTCATCTTAATTAGGGCTGCAAAATATATTGAAATAAAAATGGTAAAAATAAAACACTTTTAAAGTATATTTTACAGTATTGTTATTACAACATTTCTCATTTAAATATTTTATTTATAACAATCTTAATACATTTTTCAAGTTTTTCCAAAATAAATAAATAAATTAAATTAAATATTTTAATGTCAGTTTTTCCAATATTGTGCAGCTCTTGTTTTGATGTTTGCTTGCTTTATGTATCTTTTTTTTTTGGTCCTGCTTTTTCTTTAGCTGACTGTTTTGAGTTTATCTTTGTACCTTTATTTGAAGTGTGACCAGTGATGCATGAGTCTGAGTTTTAGTTTAGCTGATCATCTCTAGTGTTTCATATACAGTGCCCTCCACTACTATTGGCACCCTTGGTAAATATGAGTAAAGGCAGCTGTGAAAATAAATCTGCATCGTTGATCTTTCTGATCTTTCATTCAAAAAATTCTCAAAAATTCTAAACTTTCATTGAAGTAAAACAATTGAAAGTGGGTAGAAAATCTCATGATGAAATAAATGTTTTTCTCCAATGCATGTTGGCCACAATTAGACATTCTTATGAGTAAAATATCTCTGAAGTATATTTGCATTCATATTTAATTTTTTTTTTAGCACACCGGGGTGACTAGGAGCATGAAATTGTCCAGCCATGACTTCCTGTGCCACAGGATTATAAATATGAGGAACACAAAGGTCAAATTCCCTTAATCATCCATCACAAGGAGTAAAACCAATTAATATAGTTCTGATGTGCAGAACAAGATTGTTGAGCTTCACAAAATAGAAAGTGGCTCTAAGAAATGCTAAAGCATTGAAAATCCCCATTTCCACCATCAGGGCAGTAATTAAGAAGTTCCAATCAACTAAAGATGTTACAAATCTGCAGGATGTGTGTCTATATCGTCCTAATGCTGACTCTACAAGAATCACAGCTGGAGAATTGCAGATTAGTTGAATCTTGGGGTCAGAAAGCCTAAAAAAATATCAAACAGCCCCTACATCACCACATGTTGTTCAGGAAGGTTTCAAGAAAAATTCTCCTCGACTCATCCAAAAACAAACTCCAGCATATTCAGTTGTCAGACTCGACTGGAACTTCAAACAGGACTGGCTTCTATGGTCCAGATGAAACTAAAAAAAGAGCTTTTTGGCAGCAAACCCACCAGATGGGTTTAGTACAAACAGGGATAAAAAGTACCCCATGCCCATGGTTAAATCTACTGCTGGATCTTTAATGTTGTGGGCCTGTTTTTCTGCCAGAGGTCTTGGACATCTTGTTCAGATGCATGACATCATGGATTCTATCAAATAGCAACAGATAAAAAATCTAAACCTGACTGCCTCTGTTAGAAATCTTCTAATGGGCCATGGTTGGATCTTCCATTAGGACAATGATCCAAAACAAACATCAAAAACAACACAAAAACAAAACCAAGCTTCTGCCATGCTCATCTCTGTTCCCTGCTCTGAACCCTAGAGAAAATGAGTGGAGTGAACCGAAGAGAAGAAGCACCAACATGGAGCTGTGAATCTGAAGGATCTGGAGAGATGCTGGATGAAGGAATGGTCTCTGATCTCTTGTCAGGTGTTCTCCAAACTCATCAAGCATTATAGGAGAAAACTCAGAACTGTTATCTTGGGAAGAATTGGGTGCCAATAATTGTGGCCAAGATGAACTAGAGAAAGCATTTATTTCACAATGAGATTTCCCCCCCACTTTCAATAGTTTTACTTCAGATAGGTTCGAATTTTGTAAATTTTTTGAATGAAAGATCAAAAGGATAAACAATGCAGATATATTTTCACAGCCGCATTTGCTCTTATTTACCAAGGGTGCCAATATTAGTGGAGAGCACTGTAGTTAATTAATAAATAATTTTTTTTAATGTTATAGTTGACAAATACAAAGGGACACCATTTGGTTAGAAAAATAAACCATTAATTTCCTTTTTTTTTATCATAAACTAGACTATATGATGTCATTGTTCTAGTTTTGTAGTGTTTTAAAATCAACATGAAATTAATTTAAGGGCCATATTTTAAATTATGAAATATTCTGTCATATGAAAGAATTGTGAAATTATGGAAGTAAAATGGGTCACGAGTGTCGTTTCATGTTGATTGGTTAAATTAAGCCAGCATTACATTGAACAATCACATTAGTGTTATTTTGAGAGATAAAATAACATTTTGTTTTTATGACAGATGGAAGCCAGATCCACACAGATGGTCTAAACGCTCGGAGAAAACTACATTAATGCCCATTAGAATGAAATGAAAGATGGCTGATACCTAAAGCAAACTTTGTTACTTTTCGTAAGATTATGAAGACGGAGCTGATATGACTGAACATTGATTTGAATTCTAATTTAAAAGAGCAGATTAGGAGACATCTCGTTTGTATATTTTAGAATCAAATCTCTTTCAAAACGAATGCTTTTGGAGAAAAAATGCTTTTGGAATGATATGGAGAGAAAAAACGCACTTATTGAGAATGGATGTAAGGACTATAATTTAAGTCTTTTTGTTTTTCACAGTATTGATTATAATTTGAATGATATGACCAGCCACGTGACCTCAGTGCAGTGATATGCACTTGTAATGCACTTACTTTCAACTTCTAAGGCGGATACTTGAGTAAATTCTTCTGTATTCATATACCTTCTTAATTGCCATTTCTCTCTCGTAGAGGTGATCTACCAGTGAAGATCCACAATCCTAACTTATTTATGAAATGAAACGAACGATATTCAATTCCAGGTGGTGTGGGTTTCCACACTACAGTGTTATTTTCAAATACATGTTTGCAATGAAAATGTAAAGGAGCTCAGAATCTGTTGTAATAGTCGAAGCCAGAGACTGCACTTTTTCTTGTTTTGTTGTTGTTGTTGGACTGGGTAATCCAAATGATGCCAGTGTAATGATCTCAGGGCTGTTTAAGTACAGTGGCCGCTTAAACAGTGCACTAACTTTTGTTTTTGAACATACTGAAAAAATATTTGAAGGTATAATGTGGAAATAAAGTTTCCTAAAATATTCTATTGTTGACATTGTATTGTTGGAGGTCAGATTTTTTTGTTTTGTAGCCTTTTTTTTTCCTCTACATTTTTGTACATATGAATGTTGAGAGTGAATACTGTCTTGTCAAGCCTCATTTCATGTCTATGCAAAGTTGGGAAAAAAGCTCAGCAAAACTGATGTTAAATTGCTGTTGTTTAATTACCTCTATACAGTATGTGACCTCTGCTGAAGAAATGAGGTGAGATACTGACTGAACTTTTCTGAAACCATACACTAGTTGCAACATTTTAACAAAAGTAACCTGAAAAATTATAATGAAAACTTTAAAGACAACTGATACACTGACCAAAGCAGATGTTTAATGCATTTCCAAGAATCGAATCAGATAAATTAATCCTTAATTAAATATGCAGATATGCTGAAGACTCTTAGAAAAATGTGCTGCTTCAGTCAAGTAGCATTTAAATGTTAATCTGGCCACTGCGACCAATTGAGCAGAACTAAAGTTTTAGTATTTCAAATTTAGTTTATATAGTTAAAATATTAGCTTGGGTTATCTTAATAATTCACTATGGTTGGGCTATTTTAGAATATAGAATTTCGATTTATGAGTAAAAGTTCTGGGGTTAGTTGTTCAGTTTATTCAGATGTGAACAGTAACAGACATAGGCCTACAGCAAGGTCACCAAATCTGACAAGGCAGCATTACAGATTCCCAAAATCCGTCACCCTCTTTATTTCACACAGAATGGCTTTAATGTTACCCAAATTTCCTTCTGGTGATGTCTAAATGCCTCTGCTGTATTTTAGAAATCATTTTGTTTCAGTATCAGACATACAGCTAACAGTAACACTGACTTTTAATGAACAGTGACCTCTTTTCACAGATTTGTCTAGGTCACTGATGTTTACAGTCTTAATGGAGTTCAAACTTTAGTGTGACACCTTTGCCATGTGTAGGCCTACTGCAGGGATTTGTGCGCAAAGCACAAGAATGTATTGTTCTCTGTCACCCTCAGACTGTTAGACTTATCTCTTTTTGTATTGGTTGTAAACGGTCCATTGCCAAAGTACACACTGATATCACCTATAGATACACGCCTTTTAATGTAGCACTTCATACATTCTCACACACTCAAAGGTCAGAGAGTCTGTTTCAGCTTCTGAAGGCAGTATGAAGGTGTACGTTACGTTGTGCTTGTGCGTGTATTTACACGAAGCTCTGGCGGAGAGCGATTCTGATGCAATCCTCGAGAACAAAGACGTTCTAGTGCTGACAAAAAGCAATTTCGAACGAGCTCTTAAACAGCACAACCAGCTATTGGTCCATTTCTGTAAGTATATCTTCTTGCATGTGTGTTTTTATGGCTTTCCTGTCATAAGTCCAGCTCCATGAGGTGATAAATCAATACTTCAACTCGAAGTATAACAGAAGGCTACATTTTTTGAAAATGTAATGCTTGTTTTTCTTTATTAAGATTGCTCAGATGGTTTCCCAGAGATTTTAACATGAATTTCAAAGAAACAAACCTACTCCAGATGAATAATGGTGGCGTGGTGTTCTGCTTGAATTTAGGGCTGGTAATTGGAAAGTTGCTGGTTCGATCTCCACAAGAAATGAACCATGAGCTATCACCACTGTGCCTTTGAGCCAATCATTTAACTTAAGGGGGGTTGTTTGTTGCTTTGGATAAAAGTGTCTGATGAATAACTGTTTACTTACTAATGAAGACACAAGTGCATAAAGAAGACAGACGAAGTAAACTGGAAGGCAAATTAGAGTCAACACGTCTGGGACTACAACAAAATGCTCTTTTGTACATTTATAGTGCGTATTTGCAACAAGGAATAAACTGTTGCAGCTTTTTCTTGTACCTGCTGTAGATGCGCCTCTTTCTGGCCAGTCCCTTGGCTCCATCCTTGAGTTTAGAGAAGCAGCCGGTGCACTGAAGGAAGCAGAGTCTGATGTGAGACTGGGAGGAGTGGATGTGAAAAAGGAAAAAGATCTTGCTGCATCCCTTAACGTCACAATAATGCCATCACTACGGCTGTACCTGTCTGGAGACAAGAACAACCCTGTGTACTGTCCTGGTAATATTGAAATATGTGCACTGACAACTTTCTGTCCTTATTTACTGACCCTTGTGCCTTTCCAAACTCAAATACAGGGATGAGTCCCTTTTAGGATCAGTATTCCATAATGTTTGTTGTGTGGCTCCACCCCCAGTTCTTAAGAGCTCCACTTCTATAATAACATGGCTTAAAAGAAGAAAAGGGCCAAGCGCTGACATCATCAGTAATCTCACACAGCTGGACAAATTTATAGGTGAAGATGAGCTTGTTGTGCTGGGATTATTTAAGGTAACTCAGCCATTTGTTTTAGTGAATCTGTCATTTTACCTAGTTATTTTCAGTGAAAAAAATATTTTCAGCTTCATAGATTAATTTGAGACATAGTCAAGTGTTTGCAGAAGTCCTGTAAGGCTTCATGTTTTATTTTTGTCGAAAAAAATGCATTTTAGTTAAATACTGATATATATAATGTTTTTTTCTTACAGTGGAATGATTTGTAGTTGTTTTGGAAAATTGATCAAATTATTTCAGTTGAAATGATTCAGCCATAACTAAAGATGTTTTCTTGACCTGTTGTTCAGTAGTTTTTCCATTTAAATAATTATTGATATTTTAAAGTGTCAATAAAATTTTGTTGCCAATTAAAAAAAAACGAATTAATTAAATCTTATTTATCATGTTTTTCAGTAATTATTCTGGTCAAAAACAGGAAAACGAGTTTTTCTCTTAGAGCAGAGTGATTTGCAAATAGTTTTGCAAATTTGATCAAATTATTTTAACAGAATCTGTGGAAATGAATGATTCATTCAATATTCAGTCATAACTAAAGATTTTTAAAGCATTAAAACATCATTATGAATGTTTTGCTAATTTTATTAAATTATTTTAAAAGAAACACTTCAAATGAAGGATTCATTAATGAATCAGTCAACCTGTTTTACAGCGTTAAAAGGATAGTTCAACCAAAAATGAAAATTAGCCCATTATTTACTCACCCTCAAGCCATCCTAGGCGTATGACTTCCTTCTTTCAGATTAATCCAATCAGAGTTATATAAAAAATTGACTTTAATCTTCCAAGCTGTTTAATGGCAGTCAGCAGGTGTTGCAGTGCATCAGTCCAAAAGAAGTGACCATGCGCAACGCCGACGTCTTACGTCATCCGCCCGGAACTGCTTCCATTTACAACAGTGAGTGCAAGCTAGATTAAATTATTACGTTTAAAATATGGTTATTTTTCTTACAAAAACGCATCGATTCGCTACAGGAGGCCTTTGTTCACCCCCCGGAGCCGCGATATATATAATATTTATAGAGTTTTAGCTTTTAGTTTTAATTACTTTTTCTTATTTGTAAGTCGCTTTGGATAAAGGCGTCTGCTAAATGACTAAAAGTAAAGTAAGTAAAGTAATTTTCATTTTTGGGTGAACTAACCCTTTAAACGTCTTTACAAACATTTTGTGAATTTGATAAAAATATTGCAAAAGAATAATTTCAATAAAGGAATCATTCATGAATCAGGCATAACTGAATATTTTTAAAGCATTAAAATATCTTGAAAAATGTTTTGCAAATTTGATCAAATTATTTCAAAAGAATCAGTTCAAAGGAAGGACATGTACCACAAAGATGTTTTTTTGTATTGTTGTATTATTAATGATGCTCGTCATTCTTTATACACATCAGGATCTTGAGGAAGGTATAGTGAAAGTGTTTTATGAAACAGCCGCTAACATTGCTGACCTGGCCTTTGGAGTAACAGGACATGATGAGATCTTCCGCAAGTATGAGATCAGTGGAGATACTGTTCTTCTCATCAGGAAGGTAAGAATTTCACTCTACATTTCCCCCCACATATTACTAAAATGTACTAAAAAACAATAAGTTGGCTTCTTTTTACAGTACATGATGAATTGTCTCATCCATGTACATAATTTTCTTTAGTCTGAACCTGACAAGCAGTTTGAGATGGGAAGCGGCACAGTGAAGAATGATCTTGTTCAATTCATCAGACTGTATGAGATGGAGCTTGTGACCGAGTACAATGGCATGGTAACCTTATTTATCTATATTTTAATATATAGGCATTATGACATATAGTAGATGTATAAAAATAAACAAACCTCTTTCCTTTATGGGTTCCTTCCAGACAGCATCTAAGATCCTGAACTCAGAGGTGTTGAACCATTTTCTTCTGTTTATTAATAAGACTGAGGAAGGATTCGAAGAGATATACCAAGCTTTTAAAACCACTGCGGGAAAGCTCAGAGGGAAGGTCAGTGCCAAATCCAAATCCAAATCCAGTACTGCAAAATAAAATAGAATTATGGTACACATTAATGTCAACAATAGAAATATCCACAGAAATGCTGTACACTGTAAAAAATGATTGTGATTTTAACAGTAAAAGACTGTAAAAATGCTACAATAAAAACCTGTTAATTGGTTATCAGTACGTTTCCATACTATATACAGTGAATAACTGTAATTACATTTAATGTAATTTTACAGTAAAATTACAGTGAAAAAGAAAAAGCCATTGTATAATTAACAGTGAAAAACTGTAAATTGACACTCCCAGAATTCCCTGCATGACACTTCATATTTAGTTTTTTCGTTGAAATAACTGTTTCTTCTTAGTTTTTCCTTATCAGTTGTGTACATTAGTGTTTTATCTTACATCTAATGTTGTTAAATTAATGTTTATTGCATTATTTCAGTATCATGTGTGTTACCATGATGGTGTTTAGTGTTTGTGTGAATGACACTGTGCACCTTCTAT